ATAATTATTTATTATTAAAGTTTATACAGTTAAGTTAAATTAATAACAGTGCATAATATTTTAATGAAGAACATTCATTTTATTGTAGACATATGGGAATGTGCTGTAATTCGTACGATTTGAGACCGATGCGATCTGCAAAACCTTCTTCGGAGATTTATTAACAAAACGGCAAAAATTGGCACCGAATCGATAGAAATGACGTAAGTTATGTGTTTCTCGCCGTTTTCATTTGAAATATTTATTACTTTCCCTAAAAATAATCAAAAATAGTTTGCAAATCGCACCGATTTAAAATCGTACGACTCACAGCACATGCCCAATAAACTTAATATGTGACACGTAAAGTTAAAAGCTCAGAAAAAAAGATTTCGAGAAAAACGACTTTGAAGTTTACCAAGTTGATTTTGATGCTTCTGACATTTTAATGGATTGAAACTCGTTACTCGGAGGTTTTCGGGGTCGCTGATTACGAATCCGATGTTAGTTTTCCAAAATTTAAAATGGCGGATCCAATATGGCGGATGACATTTCTCAAAATTGATCAGAATCGCTTGAAACTCGTTACCCAGGGTTTTTTGGTGTCGTTGATTACGAAGTGCAATGGGGTATAGTCGTTGCGCTGGGTATGCAGTTACAGTTGCATGGCTATACTCAATCCCGACTCTTGCGTCCTCGTTCGCGCACTCTGGGCAACGTGAGCAACCCATGTGCGAGATGCGGTAACCAATCCGAGTGGAGCCTTGGGTCACGGCAGAAAGAGAGGGAGCTTCGGTGGGGCCACTCTGACTTATTCGGTTTAAGGGCTCACTGAAGTCTGCAGCGTCTGTTCACCAGTAGGTGCGGCTGCAAGCGGGTGTCTGCTTGGAGCAAGCGGCTCGCTATATAAACGTGTATTTGGTTGCGAAACCACCCCCGTCCCAGCAATGGGTTGTGCGCTGGGCTTGGGACCCGCCTCGTAAAAACCACTTCCAGTGAAGAAGCAAGGCAAAGCCTCGGATGAGACCCTCCCTTATGATGACGACCACGGCATACGTTTAGAGGACTACGATTTGAGGGCATGCACCTGGAATGTCCGGACCCTTATTGGGGAAGGTGCCTCTGCCCGGCTGGTTGATGTCCTCGTAAGGACAAAAGCTGACTCACCGCCATCCAAGAAATGCGTTGGACGGGGCAAGGCAAGCAATGTCTGGGGCCTTGGGACGTCTACCACAGCTGCCGTGTAAAGCACAAATTCTGAGCTGGATTTGTGGTGTGAGAGAGACTTCGTCGCCGAGTACTGTCGTTCACCCCGGTAGACGAGCGTCTAGCCACAATCCGTATCAAAGCGAGATTCTTCAACGTCTCGCTCATCTGCGCCCATGCCCCGATGGAAG